CAGCTGATGATTCTGGTATCAATCTAATTCAAAGAAGGAGACGTTGCGAATTCAATATAGTTATAACATTTCGTCGTGGATAGAGGTAGATTAATCAGTCAATCTGCCTTTTCGAACGAAAAGGAGATTCCCAGGTTGACTATGGTGGAATATGAAGTCAATAATTAACTGAGTAGTAGCGTTCATTAGTATTTACAAATTCAGTCTAGAGAACACTACATTGTTTTACATGTTCTCATTCTTGCGAATTGTTTTCCAAAAAAATATTCAGCTTTCTCTTCGAAGTACCCACTATTTGGACTGACTGCATTTGTTGGATATGGCTGTGGTGTTTGAATGAACTAACGATCCCTTGGTACTTGTTGAATGCTTGATTTCGAATTCTAAATACAATACATTCATTCGTGCTTGTCTAGTACTTCTGTAGTGGCATTGGACCATAATCACACAATCCTCAAAGCTGAACACGAGACTACTCGGAAAATAGATATTCAATATTTAACGCGGAGAAATACCTAACGATGGTGAAGGCGCGGACAAGGAATTGAACGAATTGAAGTTAATCGGATGGCATGGCTCAGCCATGCAGGCGTGGTCCCTCTGAATATTACCTTATATCTTTTATTCATATTAAATATATTGTTCCTTCTCCAGCCTAACCTTGTTCTACATCATGTATTGATACAGTGAGTTGGTGTACACGATGATGTGACTTCCACGTAAGATCTTATAGATTAGGCAGTTATATCATGACAAATCTACAATTTTAGGATCAGGTCTATTATTAGAGCAGTACTAATATCATAGTAGACCATAATTCTACACTTCTTGATTCGATAACGGTAACTCTGGGATTCCTAGTTCATACAGTAATTCAAATACTTTCAAATATTATACTGGCGTTGCCAGCAAGATCCTGTGATGGAATCGTTGGATATACATTCGGATTTTGGTGGTTTTGAGGATTATTTCGAAAGGTTCGAAATCTGGGCTATGACCAAGGAAGATGCTGAAGATGTTAATATTATGGCACATTTCCTCACATTCATCGGAAAAGAAGCATATAGCTTATTAAGAACTCTGGCTATGCCGGATAAGTATATCTCGCTTCTTTATACAACTCTCAAGGAACTGCTGCAAGACTATGTTAAGTATACAAAACTCGGACGCAATAAAGGAAGATTTTGTAAAGTGATTCATGAGGACATAAAAAATTCCACTACATTACTACGTCATCACAACCCAGTGCATACTCAAGCCTATACACATAATTCGTTGAAGGGTTCAGGAAGATGGCCACAAGTTTGGTCAATGTTTGTCCTGTGGTAATTTCTTCTCCTTTAATTCATGTAAATTTCGCAATTCTAAGTGCTTTAAATGTGGCGATATTGGACATATTCAGTCAGTTTGTAATACTGATGTTCATCTTATTGCAACTAATATTAAGTCTTGTAATTCTGATTCTATTAAGTCGAGTATTTATAATGATCATTTATCTTTACCAACGATTGCAGTAGGCAGTGTAGGGTCATATAGCAGTTCAGAGTCAAATGAAACTCAGAATTCTTGCGAGACGACAGTTTCTAATCAATCAATTTGTCAGACTTCTCATGTTATTGTACCATATATGGTTTTTCTTAATGACTCACTTATTCTGACGAAATCTCTTGCACATCTGAGGAAAATATTTTGAATGAACCTAATCATGATCGGAAACCTGATGTTTTGATGGATGCTAATTTTTCTGATGATCCTTTAATCTGCAATGACATTCTTAATAAATTTGAGGAAGCTATTTCAGAAGAATCAAATCTTGATGTCATATCAAATATTATTTGTCCTCATAATGCATTTGTTTCTTGTGGGAAACTTGTTCAATGCGAACCACGAGTATTAAATGAGCTCGATCCTTATTACAATTCAGACGATTTCATATCAACTGCCCTTTATCCTTATCACGAAGTCACGAAGTTCACTCTAACCAATGTGAGAAATATGTTTTAAATGAAGTCACATCACTCATAAATTGGGGATATAAAGATTCGACATTATTTTGTGGGGGGGATAGTGTTGAAAAATCTATGGTGGAATTCTGGATATGAATGATTTCAGTACAAAACCGACATGCTGATTTAATACAATTCCAGGTGAGTCTGTTCCCATTTCGGTTGTTCATTCCAATACTAATGAGCACATTCTAGATACTACAGAGTTTTTATCCAATACAATGTAGGACAGACACAGGATGAACTTAAGAAGAAGACGTACAATTGATTACAGACACTTATACTTCTATTTAAGCTGTGGCGGATGTGATGTTTGAATGAAGTAACAATCCCTTGGTACTTGTTGAATGCTTGATTCTGAATTGTAAATGCAATACATTCGTTCGTGCTTGTCTAGTACTTCTTGATTCGACTGCGTTAACTCTGGGATTCCTAGTTCATACGGTAGTTCTATTACTTTCAAATAATGTAATGGCGTTTCAATCACTGACCACCGTATGAGAAAAACGGAATCCCACTTCAAGTTTACTTGGTCGCGGATTTCAAATATTATTGCTATATACTTGGAGATATGCATCTCTGTTGGCAACAGAAAGATGAAACATGTTAACAGTTGGATTATTTTATAAGATACGGAATGCCAGTGCGTGGTCACCTCGCGTCCCACGATAAGATGTAAGGAAAATATTTAAGTGCTTTGAGTGCTCATCAAAAAAAGGTTAAAAATACTGTAATTTTTGGATATGAGCAATGGAATTGATACCACCCTTGTATTCTGATCGGGGTCGTTCGTGAATATGATGTAAAGTATGGAAAGACTTTACATTTATGGACTGTCTACAGACAAGGGCTACTTGTATTGCGTTTATCAACTTGTTTTCATTTTGAATTTCATTTATCACTGAGCTGTAAGTGAACGCCAATGTTCTTTTCAATCTAAGGCACAGTACAAGAGGTGATTCCATCATCAGCATTGAAACCATCGTTTGAATAGCATAACAACAGTGCTAATAGTCACCTACAAAAATACCGGACAAACATAAAAATGTGAATAAACGAGAAACTGTATTGGACCGGTCTAATATGCAGTAAATTGGAATGAATACAAACCTTTCAAACTTTCAACTAGTCAGCATGTTTCAAGTATTTATAGATCAGTATAATAAGAGAATTTGAAATACGGATATGCATATAGATAGACGGACAACAAGCCAAAGGAATAATAGAGGGATTTACACGTACGTCATCCGTCAATTCACACAACTGAACACAAGCTAACCTACAGAACCGAGACAATGTATTTGACAGACACATGGTTAGTTAGATGATATATTCCAAAGTAAATTTACAGCTATGTCCACCTAACATACCTGTACTGAATACAGTAAAAAATCCTACTTGCGGTCGATTAACACAGTTCACATAGCTAACACAAACGTATTTTTTCTTCCAAGGTGAGTAGCAATTTATGCAGATATTGACAGCGAAGAAGGTACCTGAAGAAATAGTGCACATCCTGCAATTGGCACACGCCCCCGACTAATTACCATATGAGGGGAAAGAAATTCTTATCTTTTATATTTCCAACTGCTTCCCTTAGTCAGACCACTCTTAACCTCTTTACAGTTCAAATGGCATACCGTTAACCCTCACCCTCCACCTCCGGCAACTAATGACTCTTCTTCTCACACACTTCCGTATGGTACCTGATATTCCGAATTTTGAGAGCTTCTATGAAAGTAGAATGCTAAAATCCAGGAATTTCTTATGGACAAACAAACCGACATCTTAGACTGTTGCCAAATCCTACCCCGCAATTAGCAGGCTGGTTAAGCATTAATGCTAATTCTGAGACCCGTGTTGCTTGGGAGTTTCTAGATTGCATGATTTTACACAACTTAGTGACCAAGCCTGAATCATTTTTTGAAGTAACGTGACTAATATGCTAGTTAGACTGGTGGTTTGATAACCGGACATGATCTGTCTCTTTCAGTACTTTAACACAGGGCTAACTACAGCATTTCTAAAGTGACTCAGGAGTTGAGTGTTGGAAAGTGACACGGTGAAACTCACCGTGCGCGGCTCGGAAAGTGTCCCCTCGGGTTGACAACAATCGTAAATGTAACCCGGTGACTTGCCAAGTTTATTGTTGATGAGGAGCTCAGTCACAATCACTGGTCCCAATGCTGCTGCTTCAGTGGTGTACGATCCAATGAGATCCAATGTGGGCTGCGGTGTATTTTCTCCATAGTCAATTACTCGTGTTGAAGATGGCACTGGTATTCAGTGTTTGACAACGCTTTTACCAGTAACACCTAATATAATTTGTACCCACCGAGAGAAATCAAAAGACAGAGTCGCGGAGATCGGAAGAGTGTATTTGGCGATTACCAGTATATCGGAATTCTCTGATCTAATCTGGCTAGCGATTGAGTTAGATGTTGAGCACAGCGTTACCACACATGATCTGGTTCGGATGCATGACCGAGCGCCTTCAGCTAGATGAGTCCACTAAAACATATGGTCAGCATCCAATGTCGAGTACTTACAGAGCTATTTATTTTAAGGATTTATTAACCGCTACAGTGTCAAGATTGGATTGTACAACTAGCAACCTCACATGTGCCACTATTATGTGCCTCTGATTTACTCGATTGTTCGCGAATGCAATCTCTCCAACACAACTAGTTTAGCTGATTTTTACTACGCATCAATTGTCAGCACAATTAAATCGCTGCTATTGTTTGTGGTTACCTCATTCTTACCTCCTGAAGTCTTTTGATTCGTCACAATGATCAATTAGACAATATTTATAATGGCAGCTATTAGCCCCACTGAATCGATCGCCTTGAAGGAAACACACATGGACAAAACTATGTTCGGACTTCAGGACCTAATTACTAAGAAACTACTTAACTTCATTCAGCTTATTAAAAGCATATTCTTTATTGGACATATAATCCTGCAAGTGGCAAAAATAATTTGTACGTTGCGATGGCCCAAACATGTCAGCTAAAAGCCTTGCTTCAGGTTACTGCGGCTAAGATGGATATTGAAGATGGACTTCTTGAGCACTACCTGAATCAGGTTGTGAAAGTAGTACGTTCGTCTGACTTGTCAAAAGGTTTGTAGATGGCTTTTCCAAGTTTGAATATATATATATATATGACTTAAAAATGTATGCACGTACCGCTTATGGTAGATTACTAATAGAATTAAGTCTCGGATTTTCATCATCGCCCTTATTTTATTAGTCGTTTAAGCACGTAATTTTTAAACCTCCAGTATTTATGTTTCCTTTTTGGTGTGTATAGTATTAGCCACATAGTCTCTTTCAGGATGTCTTGCTTTATCCTAGTCGCTTACTTGGCTCTAAACCTTCAGACTATTAAGAGGTCACATCAATATACCTTCTTCCCAAGACTTGTGATATGTTAACATACAGGCCTTGACCTTGATAAATAGCTGATTTTCAGGCTAATTTTTGCTACATTACATGTTATGTTCTACTAATGTACACCAAATTATCCTGTTGTGTGTGATTTCGATCGATTTTAGTGTCTCTTCGGTAGAATATGTCAGTCTGTTCAATTCATGAACCCCAAAAGCTTGTCAGCACATTTCTGTCCTATGTCTAGTGTTGCCATATTTCATGCAGTTATTTATGGGATCAAATGTATAAAAGACAAAAGAATATAAACTTTGTGTTAAACTGTTTCATTTGATCTTTAATGTGACTACGACATAATCTGGAGTGGTTGACGTTAACGAGTTACAATCATTAGTAATATGACGGGACCCAATCTCACTATCTTGGAGAAATTTTAGGGTCTTCCCCAAAGTTGAAATAAATATGGTAGTTTTCCCCAAATTTCGGCGAAAAACCTCAAAGTATTATAAAATTCTGTGGAAATATTGAGGGAAACTCAAAGTTTCCCCAAACATTTCGGGGATTTTCCCTGATCTGGGGAGAATTTTGGGGTTTTTGTGCCTTTTCCCCGAAATAGAGAGATTGCGAGTAGTCACTCGATGGACGACTAGTACCGTGTTTTTGATATTTCTGAAGTGTCTGTAAATCCTGTTCTGTTAAACTTATACTAAGTTCGCATTAAGTACAAACTATCCATAATCCAATTTTGACTCGATCACTTCTAGTCCGTTTTTATGAAGGTAGCAGGTTTAGTGCAACTGTGGTCCCTACATATTTTAACCTTAGGGTTCAGTAGAATCCCTCCAGCTGACCACTATCTTCTGTAGAGACTGATACTATGCAATAATGTAGTTTTAAACAGACAGGCGGTAAATAGTTCGAATGGCTTAGTATCTAGACGACACTCGATACACCGCTTAAGCTTTCAGCGGCTATCGCACTGCAGTATTCAGTCCTTTCAAATTTTGACTAGCTTCTGCCTGTAGTCAGTGTGTGTCTAGATCAATAAAAACTCAGTATCATCATTGGGTGTGGATCTGTGCCTTATTTATTTATTTATTTATTTGAACACATAAATATTGGTACAAGAGGACACCAAATATATATGCGCCACACAAAACAATGAGAATGGGAAGGGAGAAGAAAAAAGAACAATAACAACCAGGTTAGTGTAAGATAGTGTAATAGTAATAATAATAATAATGGGGGAAACGGAAAGGTATAACCAGAAGAAATCTTTCAGTTAGGAAGATACAACCACTTTTTATGAAGAAATTAAAAGGTTACGGCAGGATCGCCACTGGCTTCTATTCTGAGCCATATCGGATAACGTCTCTAGCCACTGTGTTGCACCATCTCTCGGACCCCAACCAGGAAGTTGTGAAGGACCAACAGAAGCCAACCCTTTGCAGCTTTCTTTCATACCCCGACACCATGTCATACACTGACCACCTCTCCGCTTTCTCCAACCAGTCCCAGAGTCGGCAAATAATGCACGACGTGGAATTCTCCGGAACGACATTCGTAGAACATGTCCAAGCCACCGAAGTCGGTGTTTCAAGATGGTGGCACCAATTGGATTATCATCTCTGTGCCCGAACATACGATGCCGAACCTCTGCATTACTGACATGATGTTGCCACTGGATGTCAGCAATCCTTCGGAGATGACGATGATCGAACACAGAGTCGTCTAACATCCTCAACTCGGAGAGGCCAGGTTTCACAAGCATAGAGCAAAACTGCTCTCACCGACGCGTTGTAGATCCGAACTTTTACAGCCAGACTAACATCACGAAGGCGCCAAAGGTGGCCCAGATTGGCCGCTCTGGCTTTCACTATACGTGCATTGATCTCATCACTCACGCCACCACCAGTACTTATGCAGCTACCTAGATACACGAACTTCTCGACTACTTCTATCTGCTCACCATCCAGAGTGAGTACAGGATTAGAATCCTGTCAGTCTTGTAGAAGTACTTTGCACTTCGAAGTTGCAAAGCACATACCGTACCTACGGACATTGATTGCCAACTGATTAAGTGTGGATTGCATGTCTTGGGCATTATCGCACAGTAAGACAATATCATCCGCATACTCAAGGTCGAGAAGTCTTTCTCCAGGCAACAGATCCACACCACCATTACTTACATTCATCAGAGCTGTTCCCAGAATGTCATCGATGACAAAGTTGGAGAGGAATGGTGAGATTGGGCAACCCTGCCTAACCCCACTGCTTGAATGGAACAATGGAGAGAGGTGGTTGTATGCCCTCGCTCTGCCTGAGGTGTTTTTTTATAGGGCTCTTAGAATGTTAATAAACTTCTCAGGCTCACCCTTCTTCAATAGACAATCCCAGAGAACAGTCCTGTCCAACAAATCGAAGGCAGCCCTGATGTGAAGAAACACTACGATTGTTGGCCTTTGATAAGTATGGCGGTGTTCTAACATTTGGCGGAGGGTGAAGATATGATCAATACATCCTCGACCAGAACGAAACCCAGCCTGCTCCTCGCGAGTCAATCTTTCTCGGGTTTTGAACAACCTACGAAGTATGACATAAGCCAATAGTTTGGACGCAATCGGAAGTAGGCTTATCCCCCGATAGTTGTTACAGGAACGGCGTGAACCTTTTTTAAAGATAAGGACAACTATTGACTGATTCCATGACGTTGGTACACTCTCTAGTTCCCAAACCTTTGTAAACAACGTCGTCAGTTCCTTAGTCACAAAGTCACCACCATCTTTAAAAAGAGCCGGAGGCAAGTCATCTGGGCCAGGTGATTTGTAACGCTTCAAGAGTTGGAGTTCCTTGCGGACTTCCTCCTCATTTGGTGGATCAGTCGTCACCGGCCATGGAGGGCAGGACAGTCTGACCGATGATGCCGGAGCAGCAGGCCAGTTGAACTGCCCTTCGAAGAATTCTCTCCATCGTCCATGACGTCGATGGATGTTAGTGATTGGTATCCCATCATCCTCGCAGATTGTTTCACTCACACCAGACTTTTTGCTGCCAGTGACTCGGATGAGTTGGAAGAGCTTCCGGTAATTACCAGATGCAGCTGCTGCTTCCAGCTCATTAGCACGCTTCGACCACCAGGCTTCTCGGTCCTTACACAAGCTTTGCCCAATTTCATTACGTAACATCCTTCGTTTATGATCAAACTCACGGTCACCCGGAGTAGACCGACGGGCTTCAATGAGTTGTAAGGAACCTGAAGAAATCCAGTGCTTATAAGCGGGACGTTTCGCGAACCCACAACTGACTGTACCCGCCATTTTCATGGCAACATGCAATTGCAACCAATGCTCATCTATACTTTTCGGTGGAAACTAGCTCGGTTCGATACTTACTAGCAACAGAAGTTGCAACCAGCTTGCTAACATCAATCCTTTGGTGGCGATCACTTCGTTGTCCACTGAAAAGTAAGGTAAGATTGGCGCAGACCAAGGCATGGTCAGAGTCCAGATAGGTACTCCAAAAGGAGTGGCAGTCTTATACACAACCACGCCAGCGGTAGCTGATCGCGATGTGATCAATCTGAGTCCAGGCTTGGGACGCAGAGGGAGGACGCCAGGTGGCACATCGGCGATGACTGTACCGGAAGTTAGTGCTAGCCAGAAACAGGTTGTGGTCTGTGCAAAGTTGCAGTAGACGGTCCCCGTTATCTGTCCTGCGACCAACAAGTCCCCATCAGCCATCTAAACGACTCTCTTCTGCGCCTAGACGCCCGACCTGAGCATTCAAGTCTCAGGCTAGTACTACAATATCTGTCGAACGCACTTTCTGGAGAAGAACAGATAACTGGTGGTAAAACTCATCCTTGATTGCATCCGGGCTGCAATCTGTCGGGGCATAGGCGGAGATGACGAAAAGACATCGTTTCTCACGCCGATTTCTTCTCACTTTGATGGAACTTTCTAATCTAACAGCACATAACCGACTGTTAATGGGGATCCAATCGGTTAGTGCTGCCTCAGCTCTAGCGCTTAGTGCGACACCAACGCCAGCAAGACCAGACGAAGATGCCACAGGGTCCCCGGATAAGCGTATGTAAAACAAGCTTTTTGAAGTGACAGATGGAGAGCGAATTTGTAGTACTTCACCAGAGTCTTGAATACGGGTCTCGGATAGACAGCAGACATCGATATGAAGAGTTTCCAAAGACATAGCCAGCCCCATCTGTTGTCCGACCTGCGTAAGTGTGCGAACGTTGAAGGCAGCCAGTTTGAATGGTGCACGTGATTTCAGAAAAACTGCTTCAGTACTCATATTCGGTGGTAAGAGTAGAGGATATCCTTAGGTTACTAGTATTTGATCATAGGTGTCTTCGAAATATTGCTCGTATATCATGGGACCATCGAGTAAGTAATGCAGTTGTTAGGAAACGGGTACTAGGTAAGGATGGCAAATAAATTGATGACGTAGTGAAACTTCATTAATTGAGATGGCTGGGACACGTGTTACGTATGCCCAACGACCGACTGCCTCGACGTGCGATGTTCAGTGGTATAGGAGCAGGTTGGAAGAAAGCTAGTGGCGGCCGAACCAAAACATGGCACAAGTCCATGAAGTCACTGATAGGTGGACTGAGCCATGTTGGTAGGTGTAGACTACCTGGTTGGGGACCGCGAGATGATAGCAACCGATGGTTAGAGACCCTGAATGACATGGCTCAAAATCGTTTGCAGTGGTGAGTGCAGGTGCATCCACTCTTTGTGTTCTCTCAAATTTTATTCTTCATGTCCCTTTCTTTTTTCTCTTTCCAAATTTATTTCACTGGATTATACTCCTTGAATAACATCTTTAAACCTTAATTTTTCTGATTACAGCTTATAATTTTACTACATCTAGCACTACGGGATTTGTATCGACCACTGCATCTCTGTGCTAATGAGATGTGGCAACTCGGACCGATGTACGTAGTTACAAAGTTCTACGTTGTTACTGACTGACTGGCTGGCTGACTGGTAACATACAATTTTCAACCGGACAGTGACTCGAGAACGTTTAGATACAGTCGAATTTTCACCAAAGACGAGCCGCTGTATAAGTATAAAAGAGGGTGAATAATGTGGAAAATAATAATGATAATAATAATAGTATTAATAATGACAATAATAGTAATGATAATAATTTGAATCATTTGATTGTTTTTCGAAGCGATAAAAGTAGTTTCCATAGATATAGAGAGTTCATCATTTGCGTGTGGGCTGTGATACTGCCCGGGTGCCCAAACCGAATCAGGTGGTTATCTTAGGGGGCCACACCCTGAGCCTTTGACCTAAAGGTCTGACCCACGAGGCAGTGGAGCATCGTAAGGAGATGCAGTCCCATGGTAGTCGGTGACCAACGATTGGTTCATACGCCATTTGTTCCCGCAGGATACTGGAGCCCATGTGCACCATTGGTTTGGGATCCGGTTAAAGCGCCGGACATTCGCTTTTCGTCCTCTCATTTTCGTAAACAACACCCCCGCCACGAGAAGGCAATGAGTAGGACTTCCCTGGCAGAGGCTGTAAACGCGTGGCCGCGTGAGAGTATTTCGAGAGGGAGAGCAGACTCTCCCCACTCTCGGCCGTACCAGGGCATTCGGGGGCACATTGTCTAATGGTTGCCTACTGCTTAACTAGTTTACTAGAACTTCTCGTGAACCTCCCCGCTACCCTCTACTTTTTGTACCACTTTATTTCTTGGTATCATCGGAATATAAAGATATCGATGATAACTAAGGTTGCTTAGGCATCTTAATATTAACCAACTTTTCTCTAGTCTATGTAAGCTCACTACATCCTCTATGCAATTTAGTCCGAAATTTTCGTACTGCACTTTTCATATGTTGATGTATATATACCACATCTCAATTTCCATTTTCCTATAATTTCCTATCATTTCGTATGTCGAGTGTTTTCTGTCTTGTAATGTGTATTCTCCAGTTCATCATTATAATTTCTCTCCTTTAGCACTCACAGAAGAATTCATATTATCTGTCAAGTGCTTAATTAACATTTGTTCAGCTCTTCAAGGAACACGTCTTTTATCGACTGTGCTGTCAACTCAAGAAAAGCGTGAAGAGTTCACTCGGATCCTTACTACCCTCTCTTTGGATAATTCTAGAAGTCATGCTGATTTAGCGTCTCTAATTATTGACTTGATTTCAAATTTGACTAGAGATCCTGTTTGGTTGGGTCATTTCGGTGAACATTTTGATAACAAACATATTAGATCGATCCTCAGCTCAGGTTCTTCTATCCAGAAGTTTCTCCCAGTAAGTTAATTTTACTAATTGGGTTTGGTTATTGAAGATAGTACTTAACCTAAGTAGGTTAACATCAGTGCGCCACTCCATATGCTCATCAGAACTATTACGAAAGCTGATCGGTTTATTTTCAAATATGTGTTCCGTCCCTATCAAAATTCTAATAGCTGGCATAATAAAAAACTGCTCATTTGAAGATGGTAATCCGTAATATTTTAACTTATTTTCAAATATGGCTTTCCAGAGCTTCATAGTGAACTTTTCAGCAGGGGCGTTGGTTTGCTCGATGCACTTTTAGTTCCACTTTGTGGTCCAGAAGATTGTATTGACAAAGAAGACCGTGCTATATTGCCTGAATCTGTTCAGACTATAACTGGGAGCTCCCAATTTTCTCGTTTGTTTTCCACTGAGTTGTATCTTACTATTTGCCAAACATTTTTGCAGGTAATCTTTTTTACTTACTCTTTAAGTGTCACTTTAGTTCTGCTCCACCAGTCACGGACGAACATTTCTTCGGTCCAATGGAGTTTATTTTATTTTGCGTGAGTTACACAATTATATAGCAAAAGCCGAAGAACAAACACAATGTCCTAAAACTGATGAAGCAGTTACAAACAAGGAATTATTATTTTGCATCGAACAAGTAGTAGATCAACTCATTTGTGAGGAAAGTGAACGTGATGAGCGCTGTGCAAAATCCAGTCTTAGAGAAATAAATATTGACGCAGAAACTAAAGAGAAACTTGATAGAGTGAAAAAAGACTATTTGGAATGCAAGTAATGTCTGATATCTTTAGTGTATTTCATTTTGGCTTTGTAAATGCTCAGTACTCCAGTTGCTGTTTCTACTCTTTTATTTTTCTATACCCCATTCAATTCTAATTAACACTTACGACGATGAATTTCAGTTGTTTAGCGTTAAACCTGTGTAACAACCTTCGTTGATAGCAATCATCCTTTCTTATCACTAAGTGAAATATTAAACCTTATCTGCGAACGCCTTGTAGACACTGCTCTGTAAAAAACATCGAATTCTAACGTTCTTTATAATCTGAATATATTCGACAGTGTTTTCAATTGTGAGCTAATTTTCCGTCAGTAGGTTTTAAAGAGATCCAACGTATGGAATAAAATAAATGGAAAAGTATCAGGAAACTTGATAATCTATACAGCTTAAGCGCGAACTCAATTGAGATAGTTTTTTTTCAGTTTCATTCCAGACTTTGCTCAGTTTCAAGGTGTATCATTCTGTTTTAAAGCGTACATAAATGTATTTATTTTAGCAGACATCTGGAACTATGGTAGAAATATAAAGGCCAACTATAAACATTGATTATTCAGTACAGTTTCAGAATGATCATTCAAATGGTAGTATTCAATTTGTAAGTTCTTCCATTATCCCCTCTTTATTACTCTTTGCTTGATATTATACAAGTTGAAGAAAAATCTAATCTTTCAGTCAAGATTAAATCTATAAGTTATAATTATTCCAAAAACAGTTATCTCTGCTCATGTCCATATTTAGTCCTATCACAGCTAATGTTAAAAGCTGAAACAAAGAATCACAGTCGTATTAGTTTTGTGTTGAAACAGATACAGACTTGGTAATTGAGCAAAAACAACACTAGGGTCCACTTTCACCTTATTCGTTTTAGCTATGCATCAGCAGATAAGTCCCACGGAATATTCTAAGAGTAATGTGGGTGCACAGTTTGTGTCATAAATAATGGTCAACTCTTTGCAAAGTGCTGTGACGGGTGAGACTGCAGGTTATGATAAGCAGCGTATTTATCAATCGCTTCTGTGACAGTGACACGTAAACACGTAAGGACGTCCTAGTACCCTGATTGGCCCTGCTTCGCTGTCTGTACTAGCCAGTTGAGTCAAGAACACAAGTCACAGCCTCTGAGTTATGAATCATTGTATTTCAGACATACTCTATTTATATACCAAACAAACAAACCACATCGTACCATAAAATAGGAAACAACATTTACAAAATATTTAACAAGTGAAATAAACATCGACCAATAAGAAATGTACATTTAAGGTCCAAGGCCACCATAGACTTAACACGATAATTATTGGTATATTTTTCCGACTATTCTAACACAAAGATACAATGTATCGCTTACAGTAAAAATGAACAAATGCTGAGTAAATAATATCATCAATAACCGACTTGAGAAAAAATTCAGTAATAAGTTCACAGCATGAAGCGTTTTGAGATTCATATAAACTGTTGGATACTAAAGAATTGGATTACTATTCCTTTTGTTGAACCAGGTTATTACTCAGAAAAAAAGAATAAACTATGAGAACAGTGAGCGTATCATCTGAATTCGAATTCGGAATTGATTTATGTGCTCAAGTGGTTTATGTTTGTCCCCTTAACGTCTAGCGTCCGTTACCTTTTGGAGTGTTCGTTGTTAATTTTGTCTATTCAGCAGATTCCCAAAACATTTAAGCACTCCCTTCTAATTAGTTGGAGGTACTGGAAACATTTTCATATTCCCACCTCTTAGATGCTTCGGTAAAAAGGAGACCTGGCGGTCTTCTACAGAGATCAATACATAGAAAGCCAAAATCAAATGGTCAGCACACGAATTATCAAAGTTGGGTCCCACCGAAGCAAAAGAGAAACCTGATCCATTCTCTCAGTTCGAGGGCTAGACGCATCTGTACAGAAAATACAATCGATGCCGAACTTGACTACGATAGGCACTAACTAGCAACAGATATACATCTAAATTCATTGGGAAAAATCTTAAGCCAAAACAACGTGGTGTCCACAGCACCAAAGGAGATTTCGTTAACATTCAGTTTGAAATAGATACTGTGGCAGAAATTCTGAGAAACAAGCTTGCAAGATCTCTGAGGAAAACATTTTATTCGACTGAACTCTGCATTATCTTTCCTAGTCGGTCTATGGTCCGATGTTATGTGAAGGACAAGCTCCCATTTTGATCCAAGTTAATGTGCATTTATCAGTTTACTTGTTCTTGTGGAGCAGGCTATATTGGTCGCACAAAGCGAGCCCTTTCGAAACGCATCTCCGATCATCACCCTACCTGGCTTTGCAAAGGATTACAGAAGTCAGTAAAAGCTCGATCTTGGAGCATCTAGTCTATCCCGATCGCTCCGCTTCTCCAGAACTATACATGGAAAAGTTGGCTCGATATAAATGCAGATGGACAACCTGTGTACGGCAGATTCTATTGTTATTCACCAGTTTAAGCCTAACCTTTTCCTACAAAAACAATATGTTCAGTCCCTCACCCTTAACCTCCCTATCTATCTTCTATGATCTGTCTTTCTCTTTATTTCATTGTTCCTACTTCTTTCCAATTATTTTCAGAACTAATTAGTAACTACTACAACCTTTTAATTATTCTGTTCTTAATAACTATCAGGTGGGCAATCATTTCACTTTTTAACTAGCCGATTATTACAACCTCTCTTCAATATCTGATTTCCAAGTCTTAACATATCACTCCAAGTTTTTTAATTAATTAGCACCTTTCTACCCTACCATAAAACACTATTTTAGCAAATAAGAGTGTATCTTTTTTCCAAATCAGTAGTGTGTGAAATATTTGATTAATCACAACTAGGTTACTTGTCCCTCCATGTTTGTTAAGTGTCTTTTTTGTGCAAATGAAGGAACACAGTAGGCAATGAATTTTAAATTCAGTTAGTTATAGTCAGTTATACACCCGTTTCCATATAAGCCTTACCAAGCTTTCCAATACGGTTTAAATGTTTATCTGATGGTGAATTACTTCGTCGTTGTAATTTAAGTCTTTGAAAATGTACTCAACTTATGACCTGCTACTGCACATGGCAATTTTGTACAAGAATCAGGATACTAATAGCTCTTCTCATGGAAACAGACTGAAGATCTCAATTTACTTGTACATATATCACACTAGACAAGCGGTTCATCATCGTCACATTCTTACATTTGAGCCAAATGCAATCGATATCTCAACAAAAAGAAACAGACGTTCAGTACCACCCATCTAAACGTATTTTACCATTAAATATACTCTTTCAGAAGCATCTTGGATCCTAAATGCATCTTATGTTTTAAGTTTAGTCTATAACTCAGATTGTGATTGGTAAAACAGGGAATCAGGATTTTTCGTCTTGGATAATTTAGTTCGATCTAAGATAACCAGCAGCCGTTCTATGGTACTGAGAAAGAAACTAACCTTGAAGTCGGTTCGATTTAAGGACATATGCATTTCATATTCATTTTGATCTATCTAGTTGTATTAAGAGTATGACTAAACCGATCTATCTGAAAACCACCCGTCTATGTTGACTTAACATTAGAACTTTTTCCTAGCTATTAAACCGCAATATTCGGCAGTATTAAGGCACCTGGATTTTATTTAGTGGTGCATTTATTGCTCTGGTCTTTAGGTGGTCACATTTGGTTGCGCTGTTTTGTGAGAATGATATTAAATAAACTAGTACTGTGAATCTAGTTCCGATAAATCATCAAGTTGTCTTATCCTTATATACACCATATTAGTGGTTTTATGTGGTGCATTTGGAAATATGGTAGCCGAGTCACTATGAATCAACTTGTGCATGATCAATTAGAAGTATGCAAACAGTTAGAATCCAAATAGGCATACTATGCTCGTTGTTCACTCTCATCCGTGCACAATGTCTCACCACTAAAATGGTTACATTTCACCGGTTACGTAACATTAAAGTTTACTAAAATACATTGTGTAGTCAGTCTTTGCTGATCGTACGATTGTTTAGTTGATGGTTTGCCGTTTTGAAGATCTACGTCATATATAAAAACTCGACTGAAACTGGAAATGGTGACCCGGATGACCCAGAAGTATATTGCTCAATGTCTTTAGTTCGACTACGTGCAGGGACAGAACGACCGTCTAGTGCACTTTGATCTTTAGTGGATCTTGAACATATCCCATGACTAAGAGTATACACAGATATTAAAAAGCACACTATACTGTACAGACCACGGATACGATTAAGTTCATCGTTTTCAATGCGTTTGGTATGGATCCACATCTATCACATTCTTTTCAATCTGATTGTGGATGGATAAGTCGTCAGTCAGTCAGCTACAACGTAGGACCAGGCACATGTGCATCGGTCCAGGTTGCCATACCGCATCAGCACAACAAGGTGAACACCGGATTCACAGCAGTGGTCAGGTCAAAGGTGGTAATATATTAGAGAAAGATTGCATATAGAGATATAGTACAAGAAGAAAGAATTGGTTCGTAGAAGGAAAGATATGAAGTGATTTTAATCTCTTAGTTTAAGGGAAGACAGGGAGTGTATACACCGACGCCATTGTGATCGATTCTGAGCCATGTCACCAAGAGTCTCCAACCATTGGTTACGATAGTCACGCGGACCCCAACCAAGTAGTCTGCATCTACCAACATGGCTCAGACTAGAAGTTAGTGACTTCAAGCATTGATGCCGTTTTGGTTTGGCCGCCCCTAACACTCTTCCAACCATCTCCAATACCGGATAGCATTGCACGTCGTGGTAGTCGGTATTCAGGCATACGTAACACGTAGCCCAACCATCTCAGTCGATGAAGATTCATAACCTCATCAACTGATTTACCATCATTTACTAATACCTTGCGTCTAACCTCACTATTACTTACCCGGTGATCCCAGCAGACACCAGCAATATTTCTAAGGCATCTGTGGTCAAATACTAATAGCTTACAAGTGTCTTCTACTCTTAATGGCCATGTTTCGCTGCCGTAAAGTAGAACAGAACGGACTGCCGCGCAGTATACTCGTCCTTTTATTGATAGACGGACATCTCGCCTTCGCCAAAAGTGACGTAAGTTGGCAAAAGCCAAACGAGCTTTTCGAATCCGTGCTGAGATTTCGTCAGACACCAACCCATTAGGGCTGATCAGACTTCCAAGATAAGTGAATTTGTCAACGCGTTCGACTACTTCACTCCCTATCCTTAGTTCAGGTGTTAACGCAGACCAGTCCTGAAGCAACAATTTGCATTTAGAGGGAGAGAAGCGCATTCCAAACATTCTGGCATTGTTGCTCAGTGCTACCAGAAGACTCTGCATTTTATCAGCGTCTTCACCAAACAGGACTATGTCATCTGTGTATTCTAAGTCGATGAGTGGATCTCCTGGATGGAGATCAATACCCGAGAACTCAGTCGACGAGAAAGTTATTTCCATCAGTAGATCTATGATGAAGTTAAACAAAAATGGGGAAAGTGGACAGCATTGGCGGACACCACTTGAGGTTGCAAAAGTAGTGTTCGAGTAAAGAGCCTTTACAAGGTTTATGTACTTCTGGGGTACGCCTTTCAATGACAGACACTGCCACAGAATCTCGCTGTCTACAGAGTCAAATGCTGCTTTTAAGTCGAGAAAGACCACCATTGTCGGACGCAGATAAGTATGCCTGTGTTCTAAAACCTGACGAATGGTGAGTGTGTGGTTGATGCAGCCACAACCAGGTCTGAAGCCAGCTTGGTTCCCTCGTGTTTGCAGTTCACGAGTCTTAGGCGTCTGATAATTATCGAGGCTAGTATTTTAGATATTATATTAGTTAAACTAATCCCTCTGTGGTTGTCACAGGATGATTTTGACCCTCTCTTATATATTGGAACGATAAGTGATTGTGACCAGTCAGATGGAATAACGTCTAACTCCCAGATCTTAGCTAAAATATTAGTCAACCTAATCGCTAAAATTGGACCACCATCCTTAAAGACCTCTGGAGCCAATCCATCTGAACCAACTGCCCTCCCTCGTTTCAGATTAACTATAGCTTTTTGAACTTCAGCAAGATTTGGGGGACCTACTTCAATGTTCCATTCACGCTGTCTGGGAATGGAGGGTAGTTGTAGAGTAGCTAAAGGCCAGTTGAACTGTTCTCTGAAATGTTCCGCCCATCGTTCTAAACGTCTGGACTGGGAGCAGATGAGAGTATCGCCTTTTTCCGATATAATCTCACTTTGTAACTCTGTGGTTTAAGTCGTTAATAGATGTCACTGCTGTTTCCACAGCTGTTTGTATGTCTTTCCAAGCAACATCTGGGTCAGCCTCGTCTTCAGAACTACCTAATTGTGAACTCAGTTTTTCTTGGAACCTATTTTTGATTTTCTCATTACTCAGCTCAGTTCTAATGGGTCTTTTTAATGTGGCTTTTTTGCGTCCAGTGAGGCGAAAGCATATGCGTGCCCGTATTAGGGCGTGGTCTGAGTCCAAGCAGGTACTCCAGAATGAGCGACAATCTTCTACCGACCCTCTCCAACGATGACTGATGGCAATATAGTCTATTTGAGTCCATCGTTGGTTTGGTGTAGGGGGTCGCCATGTTAGACGATGTCTCTCCTTATGCTTAAAATTTGTTTGCTGGATAAGTCGAATAGATAACTTGGCGGTTACGGTAACTAAGATTCGAGCTCAGTTCCACCTGTGTAACTACATTAACCCTTGGGAAATGTGGTTCAAATTCTCTGCCATGAAAATAAGAATTACTGACTGCCATTTCCAGTTAGCAGTTGTACAAAATCACAAACATTTACTACTTAAATGTAAATATAGGTTTTTGAAGATATGCAACAACTTCATAAACAATAAATACAAACGGAATAACACATTACCAAATAAAAATCAGTAAGAATAATTAATAAGTTCGAAATTCAAAACACTGTAAATGTCCATAATTAGTATCATCTAAGTCACAAATTTTGCATTTGTGTGTAAATACATATGTGGGTTGAAAATGATCTGTCGAAAGAAACATTACCAGTTCATTTGTATGAATGTATGTCACTTAATGGGCGCACAGCACACACAAGGCAAAACTTAATCATATGTATTTATTTCATGTTATATAAAGGAAATGCAAGTGAAACAGTAACAAATAGAAAAAGAAAACTAATTAATGGCTAATCCCATTCTGTGTATTTGACAATTTGATTTTATACTGGTTTAAAATTTGATCCAGTTGTTGATTATTTCCAGAGAAGAATGCTGATGTTGCATTCTGTAAGAGCACTAGTTGGTGTTGCATAACACGCAACTAATAACAAACGAAGTGTAAATATGAAAATGAAACAAGTAGATATTGAAAATATCGAACCAATATCATTAATCTTAGTGGTAGATAAATTACATAAAAAATGACTGATGACACCCATTTAAAAATAAAGACTGCTTAAATCAGTTATCGTTTACTAATTAGCTTGCAGGTTTGATACCTTACCTTCGTCTTAGTTTGAACAGGTAGATTGTGTCATAACCCTTCGTATTGAGAAGTGTGGTTCACAGCCGGGTCACACAAAAGTTTACAAAATGCATAGTTTAATATGTTTTGCGTGCATGAAATAATTAAAATATTAGTTTACAACTAACCTGTAAAATTTCTCCGAAGAGAATTATGGTACTTTGACACCGAATACCTTACCATCATCACAAAGAAATATAGTGAATCACTCAGAACAGATGTTTAAGTATTATAGATGTTATGGTTTTTATTAAAAAGGATTACTGTCTGTTTGTTTCATAGGCTTATGCTTCTAAATTAGTTAACAAAAGTGTTCCTTGAAAACACTTAGCGGATCAGTGACTTGGTAATTAAACCCAGGTGGTATTTGCCAGTCCTCCTAAGTAGGCAAAGGTTAAGTGTCTATTGAGAGATATAGACACACCTAATGTTTTAAAAATAGAATGGATTATGATGTTTTCAATGAGTTCGGTCCTCTGATATATTTCATCGTACGAAAACTACTAAAATATTAATAGCTAAATTACTCAAACGTAAAATAATGACAGCGGGACCCTATACATTCCAGTTAGTCTCTTAATAATAGGGCGATTATCTTAGAAATAAATTGATGTTGAGGCACGTAATCTCTTCAAGAGTTGAGATTCAGTTGGTTCCTTAAAAGATTGGATGCGTCATAGTCGAAGTCCTATTGTGCATCAGTTGTTCAATTTATCTAGTCGCCATAGGTTTAATGTCGTATTAGTAACGTACTGACACACCTCGCACCTTTTGAGAAAACCGTAACAGTTTACAAGACTACTATGCGTGCATAGTTTTGCTGTTAAATGTACGATTTTAGATTTAATAAACTCACCCTGTTTTCTTGTAAAAATTCCAATTTACATAGAACAGCTTTTCTCAATTGGGAATACCGTTCACAAGCTGCATCTAATCGTGATTGTAAATTATGGTTATCGTGAATCAAGTCAGTGGCAAATGAGTTCCCTGACATTGTAATCGTAGTGGGTGTGACAGTATCAGAATTATTATTAACATTAGGTTTTTTACTTTTTGTTTGGTTCATTTCGTTACGATAAGCATCATATTGTATACGAGCCGACTGCATACTAGAAACAGTGGTCCATGTATCTTCAAATGTATGACTAACCAGTGTGTTCAAAGAATTAACAAAATGGTTTAATGATGCTACAGGGATTGAAACAAAATAAATACCATAAATGAATAAAAAGATTAGTGAATTTTGAATTTTAAGAAGATAGAGAGGAACTTAATAAGTAAATCACACTAAATACCGCAAGTGGATAGTATACTTTGAAAGGATGATGAGAAGACGACGCTGATTTGAAAAAATGTGATATATTTGTACAATACATTTTTAGGATTAACTCGGTTTTATTGCATTCTTTTAATTTATAAAAGGGATTGACAGTCGTAAAGATAGCGAATTTCTCACAAGTGACAGATGGATACGTGGAATAAGAAAAGTTGAAATAATTGTATAATGATATGTTCAATAAACATCTGACATAAATACATTATTGCATTGATTAACAAGAAAACGCACTACGGTAGCTAATCGTAGTGTCTTTTGATATCAGTTTACTTAGAAGTTACTTGTGCCAATAATCGCATTTTACTGCGTTGCCGTGATCTGGCTAAATTTCAAATCCATTGAGACAGTCAGATAAATATTGATTACTACACTACATTTCTTCAGAATGACACTAATTTATCAATTACAATCGACTGAAGCAATTCGGATATTATAACGAAAACTATTTTGATTATACGGTAAACAGGTTAGAAATGAAACCAGAAGCCACTATTATATGCGTGCTTAATTATGTTATAATAAATTAATCAACTTAGTGTAGTGTTAAGGAAGTCTTCCTAACATCATAAGGCTTGCACTAATTCACAGAGTGGGTTTGCAGAGATTCAGCAAGTACACATTCATCGTATAAAACAACTCTACAAACGATTAGTGAAATGCAAACATAGTAACATTTATCATGGTTATGCACTTCGTTTTATGTATAAATAAAGGTCGTAGGTCAGATAATTGTTAGAAAAAGCGGAGAGGTGGTCAGTGCATGACATGGTGTCGTGGTATGAGAGAAAGCTGCACAGGACTGGCTTCTGTTGGTCCTTTACGACCCCTCGGTTGAGGTCCCAGAGATAGAGCAACCTTGTCGCTTAAGACGTTATTGGACGTCCTGCTGTAACATTCTTTTACTCTCTTCATATAAGAATAACTTCCTTCACTGAAAGAATCCTTTTTGTTCGTATTTTCTTAATGAAACGCTCCTTCCACTACTTTTTCCACGCTCATATTAAAACTATTCACTTCTTTCTCGTTTATAATAATCACCTTCCTTTTTCTATCTCTTCACAGTCTCATTGCTATTGTGTGGCGCATATATATTTTGATGCCTTTTTGTACCAGTGTTTTTGGTGGAGTTTTGTTCACTCAGTTGGATGGTGTGATCGTGAAGCTTTCGTCGTTCTTCTGAACATCATCAGCACAAACCAGAATTTCTCCACATATGACTCACAGCTTGTCCTGTAAACCTCGATCTTGATTGGCTATCTGAAGTTTGTGCTGATGATGTTCAGAAGAACGATGAAAACTCCACGACCAAACCATCCAGCTCAGAGGACAAAACTCCATCAAAACTATCCACATGAACTACAAATCTTTGTACCGGTGTTTGTGTTCAAGTAAATAGATAAAAAACAAATTTGTCACATAGGAGTATAGAGTCAGACAAAGTTAAGAAACGATTAGACTAAAGTATAGTAACTTCAAGAGCTTACTATTAGATAATCCGAAGATCTTTTCTGTAGCTTTGATGCTAGAATCAAAGAACTTTCAAACAACAATAGTTAAATAGTAACAAAATTAACACTGCAACATTGATTTATGATGAACAATAATCTAGTTATCATAAACTACACCAAAAAGAAATCTATTCAACCCCTTTAAGTAATTTAAGGGACATTTTATCAGTTTAAACTATAGTCATTTAATAGCGCGAATTAAACATTCATACTTGAAAATTGTCTTTTCCAACTATAAGAAAATAAAAACCTGCATTTCTTCTGAAAATTCCTTAAAAAACTGGTCTAGTTGGTGCCCCAAGAAGTAAATGCTTTCCATACTAATGGAAATATATAACCATTAAGATAAGTTGGTTTATTGTACCACTGGCTTGATTGGTGCTAGTTACTTAAATAAAACAGAACTGTTCCATTAGTTTCTTATGAGCCATTAAGATACTATGTCTTTTGGTGTACTAGTAATAACCAGTTTGATTTTTATGATCCTCAATAATCAAGACAATATATAAAAAATAATAATAACAAGTGTATCTCGTTTACCAAGTGGATATTTATATAGTCAGCTTTGAACCACACTTGTAATGGCTGGCGTAAAATTGCTCTGCTAGAAAGTCGAGTACACGAACCAATTATTCACTGCTTAATTCAAGTCATAGAATGAAATAATGCGATCAATCCTCCCTCCCAAAAGCGCCTTACCTTTAGATTGGATTTTAACTTATTAATCCAAATGTAATCGTGAGACCTAAAATTTTTCGGTTTGACATCTGTAGAGATCGTGCAACGATATTAAAGTGTCCTATACCAGGGAAAACCAGCTGTTTTTTTATCTGAAGTAAGCTCATGAGAAAAATCTCAAAGAAAAATTAAATGAAACGTGAAATCAAGCCAAAAAGTATACATGATTCATACCCAATAATTTTTCTCCATTTGATATAACAATACGTTGGGTTTCTGTATTATAGGTGAATTCACTGCTTAAATCAGGCTGCTGTACAATTAAAGTAGTCATATGACTCGTAAATGCACGTTGATGATGAATAGTTTCACGAAAACTATTAGCTAACTTTTCAGCGAGGTTATGCAATATTTTATACTGTTGATGCATATTTCTATATCGAAACAAAGATAAAAGAAAAGAATACTACACACTAATAATTACTGGTTAGAAGCTCGGAGAAACGTCAGCCAGAAGTTTAATATTCGTACAGAGAATGTTGAAAGCATTTTAACGGAAAAACGGAATTTCACCTTCCCTCATAAGAATAGGTTTTAATAATTTAATGATTCTTAAATATGATGTTCAATAACAAGCAAGAAAACCCGTCGAAAACCATATATGTAATAATTATCAATACTAATAGAAAACTAGTGATGGTAGATTATGTTTGTCCCCTGCATATATTGAAGTACACTAATTAAGTAGATCTTACGCATTACATGTCTACAAAACTCCTAGCAAACAAAACCTAAAGTGAAAGAATTTCTCATCTTAACCTATAGTGAAACAATCCTAATTTTACTTGAAAGATTTTACTCAACTAAAGACCCTGATATAACAATGGCGTAGTCAGTTCATAATACTATTCATATTGGCTCCGAAGACTATTTAAAATAATTTTTTGTTCGGATATTACTGCAACCTGCAATTTAGGTAAGTATTTTGGATATCGAAAAAAAGCCATATTTCCATAATAGTCAGTCATATGCAACGTATAATCTGGGACATATATACCCCCCCCCAAGTTCCAACACCATATCAACATAGAAAGATGAAAGAACAGGTCAGTAGTTTCGGCAAAATTGTTAGTTGTTGAATATGTTGGTAAGTTGATATTGTGTATGTGTGGGAGGATAAGACAAAAATATTCTCTAAGTACCTCATCGATGTCACAAACAACATTGTGAAAGTCCAAGTGACAATCCCCTCAGAAACTCACTTATACTTTACGTAAACGACTTTGATTTCTGCTAGACAATATTTTTTACGCACCTGAACACTGTTCTGTTAGACGTCATTTTAATAAAGCCAGATTAAAGGAGGTACATGTGCTTTCACTTATGAAAACATTTAAGTATGATATAGTTTCTATACGGTAAATATTTTACACTTTATTTCCTGTCAAAGTCAGAAATGATGTGCACCAGCTGAAAAAAACAATAAAGTCACTAAAACAAGTTAATACATGATTCAACCTTTGTTAAAAGTAACTAAGTTTTATTTTAAACACACGTTAGCCTAAATGCTTTCATATTCAATGCAGTAAGTTCAAAAGCGGTCAGAAGTAATATATTTATCTGATGAGCCTGAATTTGTAAGACTGGTTCCTACCTTGAATTCTAAAATTTTACCTTCAGAATAGATTATGTTCTCATAAAAAGTATGTTTACGCTAATACTTTTATCATTGGCATTTCCAGTCAATGAATAAGATTCAAAACACCACGAAAAACGCTAATATTTTTGTTCAGACTACATTTACAACAGCGTTTGGTCTTATTCTTAAGAGTAAAATCCTTTTAAATACATTTTAACAGGAATAATGTTAGTTCAACAATGATCAATAATTTGAAAACAGGAAGTCAGATCTTTCGAAAGCACATGAGGAAGTAGTACTCAAGTCAGTCAGTCGGTCAGCTACGTATATGCAACGCCACAAGTTGCCATACCTCATTAACACAACAAGATGAACACCAAATTTATAGAAGCAGTTACTACAACGGTAGTAGAAGCAAAATCAATTTCACGTAAGGATATGATACAAGGAGAAAGAAAGGTATAAAGTAATTTTGATCTCACGGTTAAAGGGAAGACAAAGTGTGTATACACCTACTCCATTGTGACTAATTATGAGCCATGTAATGTGGTGTCTCATTTTAGAAATTTAAACCATAAAACACAATAAGAACAATATGATCTAAAAAGTTGCTCTCATTATTTTATATTCATTCCTTCAGTAGTTTGAATGAATATCCTTTATAAATAGAAATAAGCACTGCGGGAAAGTGTCGCATTGTAATTTGGTGTCGTTTAGTTAGTAGGGCTGCTAGAATTTACTTTAAAAAAATATGTATGGAAATTAAAAATTCTAATTCATAAATGTGGTATGTTCGTTTGTAAATTAAATAACTGAATATCACCCGCTAAACACTTTTGCAAACTAACCTAAACATTGAAATTCGATCCTCTAATTCTTGATCACAAGTTACACTTGCGGTTCCAAGTTTTTCTTCAATCATTTGTTTTGTACATTTGAATGTTGTTACACTCCAATGTTTAAAATTTTCCAAACGGTTCTGCAGGTTAAGACCATCATATGATTCCATAGGTCCTGCCTCATTACTAGGTCTATCTAGAAAACAAGTTATAAATCAAGCAACATAACCAAACCTCACCTTTTGATAATGATGAAACAGTGTTAACTATGCTGTTACTAGAAGTACGGCTTTGTGAATGTTCTATAGAGTTTCTGAAGACACTGGAGTTTGGTTCATGATGAATAGATGGTGGATTAGACGGTGCGGTAGTATAGGCACTAGCGCTAGCTCTCATTTATTTACATGAATTTCTATGAACTAAAGCTGAAAAAATAATGCAAACATAAAAAACTAGCATGTATCAGGACATTGAGTCGAAAATGTCTCACTTATCAAACACAGGCTCGTGTGCTTTCCTTTGGAATACACTGTATGGATTCATTGTACTATTAAGCTATTTAAGCAGTACACGGAGCAAGGATCAAGCGTGAAATTTACTGGCTGAATGAGAAGTACCTTGAGACCAAGTGATAGAATTACCATGGGAAATGGCAAATATCTCTATCTAACTACACTTACCCCTAGTTCGACTAACCTAACCAAAGAATGTAACAGCATGGTTGAAAACAGTGACATCACATATTCGTTTATCAATATGAATTTTGCAAACTAGATTGGTTACATGATTTTCAGATGGTATACTGTAATGACACGAAGTACACATTGCACCAGTACACTGATGGACAATCAAATACGTACTATCAAACAGGAATATGATTAGAAAAACAGTAAGAGTCGTAGATGCACATGCTGGTTCGTGTGTATATTTTTAAGCTCGTGTAAACGCATATGTGCATACACGCACTGACTGATACAAACATGTATGTATAAGTTCAAGTAAGAGCAAATATACAACTTCCATTGAGCGATATATTAAAGAAAAGTGAGTTTAGTGTTTGGATGCCAGATCATATTTAGTTGTGTCCATCACTACACCTAAGCAAAATGTTCATCAGACTAAATTAATGTCATCAAAATAACGTGAATGTTTAAAAAATCGCTTAGTGAAAAGCGTGCATATGAAAAGAGCTCAAGTTTTTTTCAATATCGGTCAGAACCCGTATGGGTTCTGGGATATCCCAGAACGTTATATATACACCAACGAATATTGTGGTAGGTGCTGGTAAAAAAAGCCTAAAGGTCGGATCTTTCAGTGTTATTTATGAGGTACTTTCGAAAAGAAATTGTGCGGAACGTTAAAACCATCCCTAGCAATATATATCTATAAATATATCCCATGAATATGTGGACTTTAACGGCTGCCGACTTGCTTGATAACCCGAAAAAGTGTTAATCGAACGTTCGAATAAGTACGAATACAGGAGAGTGAATAAAATTATTTCAAAGAAAAATGCTCATTGTACATGAATAAAACACGACAAGGGAAAAAGGCAACGCTCCTAGGGTATCGTCCACTGATGGGGGTTGCGAGCACTTGAAGGTCAAACTGTCGCAAAATGATTGGTGCGTCTCATCGACAATTCGTGAAAATTTTCAGAAGCGGTCAAATCAAGACATTTTTGGATTTGAATTGATTTCAGCTACACTATGTCTGATAACGTTCATTCTTCAAGTAACGAAGACGACTCCATCGTGATGATGCATGATATAGGCCGAATCTTCAATGATATTATATTATCTCGAAGATTTACAAGTTGGGACAATTTTGAGACCTGTTTGAAAGAAGTACATAAGGTAATATGACCTCTGGGGTTAATAATTATTTTTTTAGTATACGCATACTAAGTACGTTATGTCAGTATGCAAAAAGAACAGTGATGATCCAACTCTAAAGTACTTTTTCGTGAGATATGTCTGTACATATGGACGTAAACGCAGTTCGTCAGAGTCAGATGCTTGCGTTCAGGATGTAGATGATGATAGTAATAATCATTCTTCTGAAGAGCATACAACTTCTAACTCGCCAACACAACCTAGGCAAAGGAGACGACGTCGGTCATCTACGTATGCCTTACTTCAAGTGAATTTATCCTTCAGGTCGAAATATTGCCACTGTCAATCAGGATTTTGGGTCCGGGCAGTGAATGGTGAGTTGAAACTCACCCCTATTAAAACCGTGCACAACCATCCTTGCACAGAAGGATATATTTCTGTCGATCCATCGAAACGACAGTTGACCTCAAGTGAACGCTTGTATTTAAGAACGTTTCTACTGAGTAATACACCAACTCGTAGCTTACGGTATCTGGTTTCTTTGAAGTTCAATAAACAGCTTACCAAGGACGATATCGCCAGAATGCGTTCACAGTTGTACCCAGGTTGTTGAACTCACATTGTAATTAATTGAGTTTAGACACTAAAAATATCAATGACATCTTACAGCGTGTTCAAGCGAACACTGAAGTAAAAGTATTCAATGAAAATGGGAATATATCTATGATTTGCTTCGGCGTCAAGGAGAAAATAGCTGTTTACCACGCTTTCTCGGAGGCAATATGCATTGATTCGACTTATCAGACCAACAAAGTTGGGTAAGTAACGATTAGTAATAAATTTATCTCGAAGTTTTCCACTGTTCCAGCTAGTGGTGATTGATAGTCTTGGGCAAGAGCACACTGTTATGTATGCTCTTTTCAGGCAAGAACGACGCTAAAATGTCGTAAAACTATTGCAATGCTTTAAAGACATAATGTGTGTTAGTGTGTGTTCCTTTGCCTCTATAAGCTTTGTAGACTTATCTCGATATAGCAACTGGTGGACACGGAAATACATAATGGACTTGGTTCTTCGTGCGCTGGACAACATGTCAATCTCTACAGAAAGTGGTGATTTGCTAGAGAAGTTCACTAACAACTACCACTCAATCCATTCTCTTAGTGAACATTTGGCCAGTAAACTCATCCGTTCATGCCTCGAAGCATCGAAAGACATATGCGCACAACTGATGAGTTCAATCGCTGCTAATGATGAAGCTACAACGTCAGAATCCATTGTTCATACAGACCATAGCTATGCTTCTTGATAACAAGAAGTTCTAATATTGTAATCTTTTTAGTTTTACATAAATTCATTTATATGGCCATTGACTTATTCTTATAGCGTAACGGCAGGGAGTGTACTGTGCAGTCTTATGTGGCTGTGAGACAGGGATGTTGTTTCGCGTTCTTGTGTAATAATTACCAGTTTGGCGCACACGCGATTAGTCATACATACCGTTTACCAAATACTGCAACCTTGAACATGGTGTATCATACTAGTAGTTTGAATTTCGACCTGTCACGATAGATAAGAATTGCCGTAATTAAAAGACTTGTGCGTTATAAATGAAAACGTTTATTAAAGTTTGAATCTAGCACAAATGATCCATTAATAAATAACTTCTATTTCTCAGGAATTGTTCTCGTTAAGTCTGTGAACGCTTGCGAAGCTAGCTGGAAATAAGATAGACAGGAAAGTTATTTCAGTATAAATGTTTACCAGAAACTAGTATAAAAACGGAAACTAGTATTCAATTACAGATCGAAAGTGCATTTAACACACCCTTCCTTTGGACAGTCAATCACGCTTATTTCCTTTATCTCTTGCGTTGCTTAGGAAAGTCTGGGTCACAACATACACGGATTGTATTAATTCTTTGGACAGGTTGCACTTCGGAAACTTAGACGATTAACATATATAAAGACTACTGTGTGAATTTACTTTGAATCGTCCTGTGTAACCTGCAATTCTTGATGCATATTCTATTGTAGTCCCACGTAAGTTATGAGTAATTGTCATTTACGGCATCAGCACGTAAGCTAGACAGGCGTTGGTTGATTTCCGAAGATCACATAGGATCTCACACAATCTGGTCACCTTAGATCAAGATATCTTGACTATCGAATCGAACTTTTCAGTGCTTTCTCGTGACAGCTTTACACCAGTACTTACTTCTGCTATTAGGTATTTTTGCAATAATACCGGCAGCCAAAACATTGTAGCTCCCCAGACAACCCATAAAGGGGTAAATGCTTTGTTGGTGAAAGGGGAAAACGCATCAGAATGTCGCCTTTTTCGCCTGTCCGGGGGAAATAATGTGGATTTCCCCCTTTTTCGCCGTTTTGTCGACAAATCACTCACTTTTCTTCTAAATATCCGCAGAATTGTCGAATTTTCGCCTAAATATCCGCCAAATAACCGAATTTTCGCCTAAATATCCGCAGAATTGTCGAATTTTCGCCTAAATGTCCGCTGAATAATCTACTTTTCGCCTAAATACACACAGAACTCCCTATTTTCCATCCATTGACATAACCCCAAAGGTCTCCTATGTTCGCCTTTATTTTCAACAACAGACCAAAACAAATCTGCAATGCAGTGGAAAACCGGCATGTTTTTGAAAAATTTTATTTAAAAGGTAAAGCGTATTATTGTACAACACTAGAGCAAAAGCTTAAGCATCGATTGTTTTGCATATCCAATGCAATTGCTAATTCATTGTTATTTGAAATTATCTGCAAAAGAAGAAACACGTGATGTATTATTTATAAGGAATGTGCATTTATTCAAAAGTTCACTGACACTCAAACACATTCTCAACACTTCTACAGTTTCCCATGTAAGTGAAAAAGTAAGCTGTTTGAAAAATATTTATTGAAATGTAGGTAGAACATCAAAACAATTGCACGGCTATTGAGAATTGAGGTAGTCGTCCCATGAATTCAGAATTTAAAAAAAGAAAAAAGTCACAACCATATCTCAATGACATGCTTTGGTACAGCCAAATACTTGTGTAGATCTATACAAGAGGTAGTAATGCTATCTTAGCTTCGTCTTTGGTAGGATCCCCACATAATTATACCTCTACCGCATGATTATGATTTATTTCCTGCAATACAATCATCTGGTGGCTAATAAATCTAACTGTAGGAGGTGATATTAACATCTTAAGATATGTGTTATTATCATCTATAGCATATACATAATATTTACAACACTCAGGGCACCTTATGTTTTCACTTGAACCTATTTCTGCCATAAAAGTCGAACAAAACAGTGAAAATCAGCAGAAATTGTGATAAAGATAGGAAAAACGATAAATCTTACCATGGTATCGTTAGTTGTAACGCACTTTTGGTAGCCTTGACGACAATACAATTTTTATGACGATATATGCCTAAATCTTTCTATTTCATATAAAAATAAAAGAATTGTCTACCATCAGTGTACACCTAAGTAGAAATAATTGCTAATCTGCGATGCAAACACCGAAAAACTATTATAGCAGCACCTGAA